ATAGTGGTAAACAACTTAATCCATGCTTTCACTAACGGCTTGAGGGTGGTTTTAAATTCCAATCCCTCAAACAAAATGTGGGTTAACCATGGAATTCCCCTCCGACAGCTCCGCCCTTGGGGCCCTGCGATATTCAGTGTCAGAACGGTGGGAGCTGCTTCCTCAATGCTCGACAGGTGGCCAAGTGTCGCTGTCAGCCCAGCTACATCGGAGAGAGGTGTGAGTTCAACCAGTGCCGGGACTACTGCAAGAACGGAGGCACATGCACTGCCTCTCATACAGGTACATTCATATGTGATAAGTGGTTTATTTATTAATATGTGAACACCTGACCCGCTCAGACTGAGATAAGGAAAAAGTAATTAATGTAGTATTTAGTTTCTTCACTATGACTGATCCTCAGTGATGTATATTTCTGTAGAATACAGGTAAACTGCCTTTTATAATATTTTTAACCAGGTTAGTGTCATAGTTCAATGTCTGACCAGAAAACTATTCGACATGAAATTTTATACAAACATTCATGGTGTCCAGAGAATGAGTCCTCCTTCAGTAATCTCCTGGCATTTTTTATTGAAGTTGCATTATGAAATTAAAATTTTCCATAAAACATCCATTGGAGCAATTTTGCTTTAGTCCAAATGCAGACAACAAATCTTAATAATTTATGGTGACCTGCCAACTAACAGGTCAACATTTTCAAAATTCTGAATCTCACACCATGATCATGACATTTGTGGTTTTCAGTGAAATATCTCACCTAATTCAACAACTATGGGATGGATTTAACCCATTGTGGGAAAGCCTTTCCTATCCGAAGGTTATTAAGCGGACAATTTTTCCTTGTGTGGAAAATGTGTCTAAATACTGAGCTAGAAAGTCAAGCAGAGCTCAAACCTCCGCCAACGCCCAAAAGTCCCTGTAAATCAGGCTGCACTAAATTACACACACTCATAAATATCAATCCTCTAACATGCCAGATTTTTTTCATTGAGGTCCAAAATCCTGGGTTCACCACTTTGTCCAGATCCATGCCAACATTCAGTGGGTTCTTTCTTGGCTCATGTCCCATTCAGTATTTTTTGCTGACAAACAAATGAACAGGCAGCAAAAATATGACTAAGTGAAATAAACGTCAAATGCTGCGCCAATATGTTTCATTTGCTTTGAACAATTTCCAATGCGTTCTTCAGATGTCTGGTGGAGCATTAATGAGCAACAGACATCACAGGCCAAAAAGGCTGCCGCAGAGAGAAACTAAAAAAACAAGAAGATGTGAAGTCCTAAATGCTGCGAGGAACCCATGTTGTCAACATGCACAGCTGCAGCCTTTGTGAACACAGTTGTAGTTTCATGTATAGTTTCTCAGATTTCTTTTAACTTTCATTTTCTGTTCTACCTGGATGCAGGTGCTCCAACCTGCAGATGTCCTAAGGGCTTCACGGGGCCTACGTGCAACCGCCACACTTGTCAGGACTACTGCCTGAACGGAGGCAACTGCTCAGTCAACATGGGAAACCAACCAACCTGTAGCTGCCCGGCAGAGTACCAGGGAGACCAGTGCCAATACAGTGAGTGTTACAGTAATATGTTACTTCAGAGTTTTACTGGATAGATGATACAATGTATAATATTTAGCCTTCTGATGTACACTACTTACATTTACAACATATGACTGTATGACGGTGACTCTGCACCTCTAACAACTCTCCCTCTGACCCTCAGGTAAATGTGAAGGGTTCTGTGAGAATGGCGGAACGTGCTTACAAACCTCCAACTTCACCAAACTGTGTCTGTGCTCCACTCAGTACATCGGGTACCAGTGCGAGCTGGACAAATGTCTATTCTGCGGAACGGGCAAATGTTTGACGTCATCCTCGGGGGAGGTCTCCTGCAGGTGGGTACGCTGTGCAACGTGGACGCTGCACAAAATAAACGAGACTTGGACTTGTAAATATTTGCTAACATCGTAAATATTTGTTAACATTTATTCTGGACGGCTCGGTGACTAGTCAGCAAGGTCAAATAGGACACTCCCTGCAAGCTACAAAAATATGTGGATGTCTGAACATTGCACCAACGTTCGATCAGTAAAACTACAGACATTAATGCTTCTGTATCAGGATTCATTTTTTTTCCTTGTGTGTGTGTGTGTGTTTGTGTTTAGCTGTCCCAATGGTCAGACCCAACCCAGCTGCTATTCCTGTTTGGACTTCTGTGCAAATGGGCAATGTACAGTTGACACTCGCACACTGCTTCCTCAGTGCAAGTAAGATATGACACTCACTCCGACCTGATTATTCACTCTGTCATTTTCTATCTTTCTAACTCGCATACACAAACACACACACTTTGTAACTGGCTCGTTGTGCGTCCAGGTGTCCTGTCGGATGGAAAGGATACAGATGTGAAGTCGTAGCTGCTGCTATTGATTCTTCTGCTTCCAGTGGAAGTAAGTCTCACAGTACCTGACTTCTGGTTATTGTTAGTTAATCATGCACTTTGGTCTTTGCTCAAGTTACTTTCTCTCTCGCAGGCACGTCCTCCATCGTCATCCCGGTTCTCCTGCTGCTGTTACTGGCACTGCTGGTGGTTGGCGCCATCTTGTGGTACAAGCGGAGAATGCGCGGGTAGGACCTGGCTTCAGAAACCTTCTTTTATTCAAACTCCCATTTTTCATCGATCTGGTCCTCTCACCTGTGCGATCTATCTTCTTCTACTTTTTGATAACCATCTATTTCCTGTCTCCCAGGTCTCTATGGCCGGGCAAATCTCGTTCTCAGTGCTCGCGGTAACTTTATAGGGTTACATCATTTAAACTGTTGACACACAAACCCTGTCCCCTCCATTCGTTAACACCCAATCAGACTGGCCATGCTTCTGTTGTCCATTCTGTCAGTCAGTGCAGAAAATCTCTGTCTGTTTGTCTTTGCCTGCCACCTCCTGTGTTTCCAGCCCAGCAGCTCAGGGACCGATTGACTCTTATCTGAAACAGTTTTACTGGTGATGCACAAACAATTGAACAGTGTTTGTCCTTCTTGCATCTGCATACCTTCCCTTGTTTACGTGTGTACATGATGGGCTCACGTCATGTGCTTGCATAGCAATGCTTAAATGTTTGCAATCGGCTGAATATTTGCAATGAAAATCCAGCATTCTCCACAATAGACATGCTGCTGTATATTTTCTGGGTTTGATCAAATGGGCTTTTGACAGAAAGCTCATTTGACAACCTTTATTACATGTTGTCTTGGTTTTGTGGATTGTGTGTAGCTGGTGCTAAGTCAGTACCTGGTTTATGCCAAGTTATGATACTTTTAAAGCAGCTTTGAATTGTTTAATTTAGGGTTTCTCCCAAAAATCTGTAATCATCTTGTTTTAAATCTAATTTTAAAGTTATTGCTTTGATGGTCATTGAGTTTTTCTTTGTCTGCCTGCAGTGCCAAGGGCTTCCAGCACCACCGCATGACAAATGGAGCCATGAATGTTGAGATCGGAAATCCTGCCTATAAGATCTATGAGGGAGACCCTGACGATGATGCTGGGGAGCTCCTGGATTCTGATTTTGCTTTGGACCCAGACAAGGTATCACAGCTAAAATCATTCATTTAATGAGTCATTTGAGGGGAAAACAAGAATATTTTCAGTTGTGTCTCTTTGTATCAAGCCATAAAGATGGTTTTATAATATATTATGATGTCAGTAAGGTTCCAATGAGAACTGAATATGTTTAAACCCAGGCTCATAGTGTGTCATGTCATATATAATGTGCCAGTTTTCAACCAAATTTTCCACAAGGAACAAAAGTACATTTCCATCCACTTCCATTAGTGTATGTGAATATTAAGAGTTAGTTCATTGGGATAAATCTTTTTCCTTTTTACACTGTTTTACACTCCACTCTTTTATACTGTGTGAAAATGCACCTACAGATTTTGTCAGACCACAGCTGGCAGACACACTTTAGAACAAAACAAACACAAAGCACATGACAAACCAAAGCTAACATCTTGGTGGCAAGAGGGAGAAGTTTTGTTTAGCTATCCATTTATAAGGTACAGCATGTGGTAAATGCTCCTTCCACAGTTAAAAATGTCTCTCGAGTGACCATGTAATTTTCTTTGCTCCACAGCCCACCAACTTCACCAACCCGGTGTATGCCACACTATACATGGGCGCCCACAACAGCCGCAACTCTCTGGCCAGCACAGATGAAAAGAAGGAGCTCCTCTCCCAGGGCGACGAGGACCTGAGTGACCCACTAGCGTAGAGCTCGGCATGAATTGAATTCTGCCAACGTCGCCCTGCCCCGCCCAACCCAGTGCTGAGCCGACAAGCTCACTCGTCTTCTGCCTTTACCAACCGAAAAGAAAAGCAACAAAAAAAGCAAGAACACTGTATAAAATGTATAAAATGAAGGACTACTTTTTTTAAGTGATTGCAGTATTATATTTTGTTCTTTGACAAAAAAAAAAATCATCTGGTGATGAAAAAGGAACCATTTTATAGACATTTATTCAGTTCTTTTTAATTTTGCTCACCTCCTCCTCACAATCTCACGCATATAGCCACTACCTCTGTGCAAACGTAAAAGATAGAGCGATCTGAATGGCCATGGAACAAATTTAATTTTTTATTTTTGTATGAATTGTATAGGGGGAAAAAAAAGAGGATATTGTTCCATCGTAGAAAACGTTGCCAAGTCTTTGTTGTCGATGAAAGAGAGAAGTGTCAGCGTCACTATGAATGCTTCCTGGATGCTGCTTCGGCTCAGTCTCTCACATTAATGTGCATATGTAAGTTTGCTGCTGGAGGTCTAAAGGGAGTAATGAGAAGTTGTTTAACTGCACATGTACACATGGAGGACTCAGCAGCGCAGACAGTGTCCGTTCTGTTCTCAAAAAAAAACTACATTCAAGTGATTGTCTTTTACCTCCTTGCACAGACTATACCCAGGAATACAAACATCAGTAACAAATAGCAGTCTGTACTTTTTAACATTTTTTTTTTTTAAAGTGGTGTAATTGACCTACCTTGTGTCAGAAATGAATGAGTCAATGGCAGTGTGTGAGTGTGCTGGATGAAGATGATTGTAATAAAGTCCACAATCCAGGATGAACAGTCTGGGATGGATATTTGTGGCCTTTGGTTTAGCCTACTGCAGGACACTCGGGACAGCAGCCGGACTTTGCTCTGAAACTGTACTAGAAAGTTCTTTTTTGGGGGAGAAGTGACAACAAGCGTCTGTGAATTTTTTCCAGTCATCACTGAAAAACGATCTGCAACGAATAATTAACTGAGAATGGTAACATTTAGCCTTCGTTCCTTGTCTTTTGATTGTAAACGTACTTTCAGGAAAGGCCAGGGAGCCCGTTTGATGGTACGTACTTCTGTGGGAGTAATTCTTTTTCTTTTTTGTGTGTGTGTGTTGTATGTAATTACATGAACATGTGATTTAGGTTAATACTCATTGTTAAGTGCATTCCCAGTAAGGAGACTGATTAGCTTCCTGATAAGCATTCCTTTGTTAATTCCTTTGCCTGGCTGCTAACCACCTGTCTGTCAGTCAGCCTGGTTCTCAGTCTTCAGTAAGTGTTGCACTGTGTCTCACCACGCTGCTTTTAACTGAGCTTCTCCTCAGCCTCCACCCGCACCACACACACCGTCACTCATCCATCCTAGAGGAAACCTTCCGGCTTTTATCTTGTTAACAGTATTCATAACGGGTTTTTATGTTTGTGCTTTTTTACATCCTGCTCTGTTAGAGTTTCACCTGACCATGTAAATTAGAACAATCATTTTTCAGTTGGAGAAACTTTTTCGGTGGCGAAACCCACATGGATACTTGTGGTTCTGATTGTTTTGTTATGATTCTATTTCTTTTTGATATAAGAAATTAAATGGATTTTTATAGTAGAACTACACGGTGGCTCTGTCCGTCATTTGAGAGATGGAGCGAAAAAGCGGTCACTCATTGATTCTTATCGGAGAAAATCAGAAATTAATATCAGCTATCCTTAAAAATAATTGAAATTACACATAAACAAACCTATAATGCTATAATAATAGACTTTGGTCTTATAGTTAGATAATTCATCTTATTTATTAAAAAGGAAGTGACATCTTTCAGTCAATAGACAAATATAATGGATAATTTCTTCTAAAAAGTAAATTTCTTGATTTCAATGTACATTAATGTAAAGAATAGTGTCTCTTACAACAAAAGTCAAATTAAGTAGTGTAAAAAGTGTCACTCCCTTTGTGCCATTGTTATGTTAGAACACGGCTGTTGGGAGGAAACTCATCATTTAGGATAAAAAAACAAATCTTCACACACAACATCACTTTAAGATTGGAAACATCCTTCATCCATCACCACGTCTATAGCAGGTTAACGTCATCCGGGCCTCAAACAGCAGTCCGCTTCTTCATACAGGTGTCACTTCCCACATGTCACTTCAAAGTGTGACAGGAAGTGTTGTCAAGGCGTTCAACATTCAGTTTTTAACAAGGCACAGACACATAATGACTCAAGTCAAATGCAATGAAGCTTTAAGACATCGACGCACTAAAGGTAAATAAAAGAGCAATCCTCAAATCATTATTCTCCTTCTACTTTTTGTGTGCCTTCAAATCTGGAAATTTCCACTTTTGCATATTATCATCAGTATTATAAGGTTAATGTTACGAGAACAAGGCAATGAAGATACAATATTTAACGAATGATGGTTGTAAAATAAACTTATTATGGCTGACCCATGAGAAATAACACTGGTTACACAGAAAAAAGGCACTTCTTAAACAACATGAGACATTCAAGAAAGTTTGGTTTGGCTAGCTTGTCACCTGCACTGTAGATGCTCTTTCCTCCGAGATACATGTGATTGAAATTGAAATAAAACATTGTCAGTATTAACTTGTGATTGAATATACTGAGTAGATCTCTCTGATTTGGAGGAAAGTTTTTGCAAGTGTCTTGGAGGCAAACATCCCAGCAGCGTGGTTGGCATCTTCCCTTGGCTGCCTCCCAGTCTAAGTCCTGCTATGACTGCATCATCTGAGGAAATTAATGGTCTCTGGGATAAGATCCACATGTTGGCAGGCACTTGTTAGTGAAAGTACAATTCCGTCTGCACTGTGATCCGCCAGTCCTCAACTCACCTCACCTGTGCTCCGACTGGTCAGGCCCTCGATGCCAACAGAGCAGTGAAAGTCTCATACGTGCAGTGAGAGAGGAGTAAACCACTGTGCTCCTGTAAAAACGCCTTGCTCGCTTAAAGTGGCTGTTAATGGCCGCCATAAATAAATAAATTACCCAGCTAACACAAGGGCTCTGTCCTGTCCTCCCTTTTATTTTGAGTCTTTGTGATCTGCAGCCTCAGGGTTGAGATGGACCATCGGGACACGGGGGAGGAAGGTTTTAAACGGGGAGGGGAGCGATAAGTGATGAATAAGTGGTTTAGGGTCTCTTCCAACCGCTCCGGATCAACGCATCAGCTCGCAGGAAGGGCTGGTTTCGAAGATCTGTGAGTGGGTGTGGAGAAAGGGGTGAGAGACAAGGGGAGGGCACACATGTTAGAGGACCCAGAGGTCAAACTGTAAATTCTCTCCTGCTTATGTCTACTTACTTAAACTGTTTTAAGCTGTAAATGTAGCGAACATACACTCAGCTGCAGTTTCATTGGGTACACCTAATAATCTGGAGGGTTCCTATTTTTTTGTCCACCTAGTTGTGTCTTTGAGGCTAAGCTGAAAAACAGAAACACTTCTCTGGCTAATTCAGTTCAACAGCACCACGAACAAACTACATCCTGCAAAATGATCGTAGAGTTGAATTAAAGGTCCAGTGTGTGAGATTTAAAGGTGAAAGGGATCTTTTGGCAGAAATCGATTATCAAATAATCCTAGAGGTAGTTTCAGTGGTGTGTTTCATCTAAATAATTTTTACTCTAGAATAAGCCCTTTATATTTAAATACTTTATATTTACATCGGGGGAGGGACTTCTCTACGGAGGCTGCCATGTTTTTTTACAGTAGCCCAGACTGGACAAACACCTTTTGAGTTTTTATGACAACTGAAGGCTGCCACAGGTTCTCTTTCATGTTTGAAAGGGGAGGGTGAGGTGAGGGGTGTTCAGCTGCAACATGAATCTTCGCCACTAGCTGTCACTAAATTCTACACACTGAAGCTTTAACACCTAAGAACTGAACTAAGGCAGGGAGGGTTTTTGCAGCACTGTTGCATTAGGTGTACCTAATAAACTGCAAACTGAGTGTTTAGTGTAGCATATATAACAATACTAGAAACTCTGCAATAACTTCTGCAGTTAAGATTTGTTAACTGTGTATTAGAAAAATAAAAAATTGCAAATAAAAGCCAAAACAATGCACAATAAACATTGAATGACACATTTCCACAACCTTGCATTTCCACTGGTGGTAGTGAAACACAAAACAGAGAAATCCAAGGTTTTGGAAAAATAGTTTCAGCAACGTTTTTAACACTTATAATGCAGCAGCAATTTTAAAAAAAACCAGTAACAATGTGATGGTCAACAAGCTCTTTAGTTTGTGGAGTGACAGTTGAGATGTCTGCGCCACTAGAGTGAGAGAAAATCTTTATTAGGTCTGTGACAGTTTTGGATTCAGACTGTGTTCGTGCACATGTGATTGAATGTGAGAGCCTGTTGACCAATTAGCAGTTCTGCACACTGCGGATGACAGTTAGCACAGACGAAAACATGGCGGACGTTGATGACAGGTGAGACGTAAATGAACAGTGGACAACATGCAACATGTAATAGGAGGGGGTGAGGATGATGATGTTTAAAGGTACAGTTGTGCATTTAAACTGGACAATAATGACTAAAGACTAAGTGGAAATTAAATGAAATCACTAATTTCGTGTTTTAACGACCAAGTGATATTGAATTTCTCTAAAACCATACACAAACTCGCTTATTAAATAATCTTAACTATAATGTTTTTCTGTCTATCTGTGTGGTAAAGCAGATCTAAGTGCTGTAAAGCATCTTTTTCATTTGCGCCCGAAGCACAATAGCTGAAGCAGCTGACGTCACTGTAGCAGCACACAGGAGCTGGAAGGCCAAGCAGGCTGGGTGTCAGCCGGGGCTGTACCTTCCTTACCCTCTCTTAGGAGTGGGAAATACTGTCATTAATCTTCTTTTCAGCTGAAAGGGAGGGGTAGAATAAACAGTGGTGGTTGAGGAAAGAAGAGTCACATGTTAGCCGGAAAAACCCCCCAACACCAAACAAGTTAGTTTCATGGAATAAAGCATCGTTGATAGATAAAACCCAACACAATTAGCCAAACCTCTTTATCGTCAGCTTCATGAAAAGAAACGATGATGCACAGCCTTTTGAAAGTATCATGCATGATGCTCTGACGGGATCATCTCATCACAGTCGTGTCTGATTGCACTGTGAGTGTTTCGACATATTTTTCACGCTCAAAAATATGCTGTCACTTCTCTTTTTTCTTTTCTGTTCCATGTAGCTCTACACCAGGCAAAGAGGTTTGGCTGACTCCTATCACCAAAATGGCCTGATAGGAGTCTTCTCTCGTGGTAGTAACACAAACAACCAGTGATGGCCCAAGTTAGTTCATAGGGTATGGGGGGTGGTTGGAGAGGGGCGAGGTGGGTGGTCATGCTGCATGCACAGTGGTCAGGAGGCGCACGAGAGACACCTGGACAACCTTGGCATTAGGGAGGGGAGGGCTAGCAGTTGGCGTCGTCGCAGAGGTTGGCTTCACAGAAGAACCGTGAGCCGCGTTTAGCAGTGCGGGCTGTGAAGGGCACGCTCTTCAGTACTGGGGGGAGGAGGGGGAGGAAGAGAAAAACATGTCACACCTGAGACACCTGCAGGGAAGGAAGGGGGGGAGGCACTGGACCACCATCGTGTTTCATTTAGAAGATGATAATGAACGTGAGATAAGTGGAGCTGTGCTGTTTGTAGCTCCTTGTAAAAAGCCTCGGGGATTTTAATAGGATTACGACACACTGAGTTTAAGCATCAGGTGTATAAAAAAGCTGTTGCAGCTCTGAGAGTAGCAGCTTAGAAGCATTATTAACATGACTACAACGACATTAATGTAGCATTCGTATTATTTACATAATAAGTACTGAACACTGATGATTTCCTGAGGCTGTAGATTATGTTTTCTTCTCCCATTGAAGCCTTTATATATATAGGATTTTAGATATCTGACTGTGGCTCCTCCTGGTGGTTAACTCAAGAGGGACACTTGCACAGTCCCCAATCAGTTTTCACTGGGATTGTCTTATTTTTCTAAACACAAAATTGTCATCAGAATACTGTAACAAAAACTATTATAACAAAAACCCACAGAGGCAAAAACCCACAGAGGCTGAAGTAAATATCCTATAAAGATCCTGAATTTCATGTACAACAGGAATCAGAGTTATTGCCTGAATTTTCAACATATTGAGGCTCAGCAGCTTTTAGTGTTGTTGGTCTCAGAAGTAACGAGACAGTGCTTCATGGAACAACTAGCCGCTGCTGAGCTGCTACGTGCTGTGCTCCAGATGTGCTTGTGTCTTGACCACGTAGCACAAGGTGCATTTCAAAGGAGTTGAGCAGTGAATGACCACAGTCATCCTCGGCCTGGGGCGACCAGGGACGCTGGCACCCACACAGGGTCTTTTGTCTGGCCCACCTGTGATGATGTCCTCAATAGTTCCGTCCTTGCCCTCATACACAGGCCGATGGTCCTTGGCTTGCCGCTTGCGCAGCTCTGCGATCAGCTCCTGCTGCTGCTGCCTCTTCTTCTGGGCCTGGACCTGAAGCAGTGGGGAGAGGATATTTGTGCTGTTCACTGTGCTTCTTTGGCACGCCACAAAGCTTTATTTAGCAATGAGTAAACATCTGATAGCTTTCATTCATCTGCGTCGCCTGCACTTGGGCTGTACCTTAGGTTCGTGCTGTTTAGCCTCCTGAGCCAATAACTTTTCTCTCATCGCTTCCTCCTGCTTCTTCCTCTGCTCGTTTCCCAACACTGCATCCTGTCGAGGAGACACAAAGGTGAACAGTCTGTGACAAGTGACAATGTGTCGACCTTGAGGGTGGAGAAAGTGGGTCAAAAGTTGAAGAGAAACAGGGAACACACACTTGGATTAACAATGTCAATGTATTCTTTCTCCTTGTGCCTCCCTACTTCAATCACACAAATACTTCACACTAAGACTAAATGTGTATTAAAGTTACTATTTGACATTTGATATACTAACACACTTTTCTTCTTGAAAGCAAGAAAAGAAGATTGATATTGTATCCTCTCTTGTCTAAGGGGGAAGCTGGAGCCAATCCCAGCTGACAAAGGGCAGGGTACAAACCTGGACTGATTGCAGGGGCGACATATACAAACTAAAAGCCATTGTCACTCACATCTACAGCCAGTCTCCAAACAATCTATTCCTGATCTGCATGCCTTTGGAGTGTGGGAGGAAGCTGGAGTACCCGGAGACAATGGGAGAACATGCTAACTCAAAACAGAAATGCCCCGGCGAAGCAGGGATTTGAACCAGTAACCTACTTCCTGTGAGATGACAGTGCTAACCACTGCCACACTGTGCTGCTTAGCATAAAGTCTGGAAACAGAGTGAAACAGCACTGCCTATTGTGTGAGTGATGTGTGATAGAGAAAGCGCTGCACACAGATGCACTGTGAGAATGTGTGTGAAAAGCAAAAATGGTCTTAAAGACTAGAAAAGCACTATTTGATACAAACTATTACGCACCATATTATCTATTAACTATTATCTAACTATCTTTTTGAGACACATATAAACACTAAGATGTACAGACAAGCACATTAATCCTCCTGCTGCACATTTCCTTGAGCAGATCCCATAAATCCAGGCCGAGAACAATCTCAGGAAATGTGCTGTGTGGCGGGGCAGGGCGAGGCTGTCCAGGGGTAAAGCGGGAGGAGGGACGGAGGAGGGAAGAGCCAGTCTAAACACCACAGCTGCAGCTCCAGAGTCAGACCCAGCTGGCCTTTCCTGTTATTTGGCTTGCGCTCTACGCCACGTCCTGTGGCACGGAGGCGGCCAAAGTTCTGCCCCCCCCCCCTTGCTCTGAGACAAACCCCAGGAACTTCCCCAACCGAGCAGCAGAGAAAAGCACCACCTTGTCCATAAAGAAGCGAGGAGAGACGCGTGGCGCTACCTCTGCTCGGTGTCCTCACCTTGTAGGCTTTGATGAAGCGCACAAACACAGGGAAAAACACCGAGGGTGGAGTCGTCTTGGCACTCTCTCCGAAGTAGTTCACCACATTGTTGAAGGCTTCCTAGAATTGGGAGGGAGGATAGTGCCAGAGAGGGATACATGTTTGTAAACTCTGTTGAGTGAGGATTCTTGTTTTTTTATGTGTTAGAGGTGAGTGAGGTGCATGTGGGATAGAAAGCTTAGCATCATGTGTATTTTCAGTGAACACTTTGAGGTTTAGAGGGCGAGGACACCGTTGGGTACCTCTGCTGTCTTCGCGTCCTTCTGCAGCTTGTCCAGCTGTGAGTCACTGGCCTGGACGAAGCCTTTCAGGACTGAATGGTCGTGGAGACTGCACTCTCTGCGGATCAGGTCCATGCCTTTCCCCAGCTCTCGCACATCCAGCAGCACGTTTTCCAGAGATACTTCACACACAGGCAACACAGATTATGACTATACCAACCATTATCTATACCGCTTAATATGCTTGCCTACACATATTACTATTACTGGCAATACCTATCACTTGTATTGTCTTTAAGCATTGATGCACAATTTATGTTTGACACTGTCATTTCTCATGAATGTTGCAAGTATTATTTTGTAGATGTGCGCTGTTACACTTCTGTCCATCCTGGGACAGCATCCCTCACTAGCGACTGCTCTCTGAGGCTTCTCCATTTTTGTCCACTGTTTTTCCTAACTCTAGTCGAGGGTAAAGGGCAGAGGATGTCACACCTTCTTAAGCCCTGTGAGGCAAATTTGGATTTTTGAATATGGGCTATACAAATAAAAATGTGCTTGTCCTGAGGGTCGCAGGGGGAACTGGAGCCAATCCAAGCTGGCATTGGGTGAAAAGTGGAGTAAAACCCTGTGTAGGCCGACATACAGAGACAAACAACCATTCACACCTACACCACAGACAATTTAGAGTATCCAATTAGAGAGAACATGACACTCCACACAGAAATGCCCAGCTGGGATTTTAACCAATAAATCATTTTTCTAAAGGAAGTGGTGAAAATGTTGAAAATCTTGCAAAGAAAGTGAAAATAAATTCCTGGATCTTCCCATTGATCCAGACCCGCACCAAACTTGAATGGGTTCTTTCCTAACTAAAACTGCATCCTTCTACCAGGTTTCATGGAAATCCGTCCAATTGTTTGTGTTCAAACAGACAGGGGTGAAAACATTACATCTTTGGCAGAGATACTGACAGTTTAATGTTTGATGTGAACTCACCCGCTGCAGCTTTATCCACAAAGTGCAGTTCGTTGCAGAAGTTGGCCAGTTCAGGGTATTTCTCTTTAATGATGAGCGCTATGTAGTGGAGTAACGTCATTTTTCTGTCTGTGGACTTAGTGTCCAGCAACTGTGGAACAAAAATGAAATTAACAGCACTGGCATCATCAACAATAGCACTGCAACAATACACAACGTGGGATATATAAATAATATATAATGACAAAATGAGTAGTTAAACAAGATCTCCAATTCCTACTCACCAGATCGAGACTTTGTAATTTGAAGCCATAAACACATCCTCTCTTGCTGCTGTTCATGTAGTTTCCCAAAGCTAAGATGATCTGAACCAGAGAAATTAGAGAGTATGAGACACAAATGCCGCTGATACAAAAACACCAGACGAAATCAACACCTCTTACCTCAAGCACCCTCTTCAGCTTGGGTGAGGATTTGACAGATCCCGAAGCAGCGATGATGGCGTTGAGCTGCGGCGTCAGCATGTTGACATTGTCTGCAAAGTTCCCGACAAAGGTGATGATATTCATCCTCTGCGTGAGTCTCTCAATCTTGCTGAAAAACAACATGAAGCGATCCTCCTCTGCCAGCTGGTCCAGTGGCCGCCGCTCGCGCTCATACTGACGCAGCACCTTGATCTCCGTCTCTGTGGGCAGGAAGCGCATCAGGCACTCCACGAAGTCAACAGGTAAGGCCTTGAGGTCAAACCTGAGGAGAGATCATGCATATCAGTAATTTGTTCCATCTTATCTATGTTTCAAAACATATTTAAAGTTCATAACAAGTGCATACTTCTCTATTGCTTTGCAGATCTCCTCTGTAGACTTGTTTGCCTTTCGCAGTGTGATGGCTAAGTTCTTGGAGCGATTAGCGTCCAGCAGGGTGACTTTGTTCACCGTCTTCTGGGCCACTTTGCTCTTTGTGCAGGCGAGATCAACAATCGGACCCTGGGCTCTGGTTTTAAAGAGCTCCTCAAACCTCTCCAGATCCAACTCCTGCAGGTTATAGGGACAGTTAGAAATGTTTTAAGACCTCGTTAACATGTTCAGCTTCTTACTAACAGCAAAGTGGCTTCAACATGAAAGTTTGAACAGTTTTAGTTTTTCACACGACATATTTCTGTTTTATTTCTTCTCATTGTTTCAAAGTGGGCAGGACTAATTGGAAAATATTTCCATGTGCCGATGAGGATTTAGCAACATGTGACTTAAACTGTGATGACAGCTGGTTGGTTTATGGCTTCTGTTGCCAGCACTGCCTGAGCTTTTGAGCGTTAAACTCTTAATAAATAACACAGAATGTTTTTTCCAGACAACTTTCTGTTTGATGATGAATTATTTTTTTAATTTGATCCAATCTGTATTTAATCAGAGTCTCATTGAGATTTTCAATCTGTTTTCCATGAAAGACCTAAGACATTTACAATCAGAAAATAAATACAACAAAATAAGGTTAATAAGGTTAATAAGTAAAAACAACACAAGAAGAACTACATGAAAACATCAGGTGATCAAATATTTAAAATCACCAAGGGGTAGATTACAGCTCATTCAATTTAAAAGTAGTTACTGCATGTTCTGTATAAAAGAGAAGTGAGGTAGTTTAATCGGTAAAACGTTTTGAAATGAATAGCATCAGATTTTTTTCTTCATTGGAAGGAAGGACGGTTTAACTGGTGTTAATGAAGCAGCTTGACAGGACAGAATAATTGAAGGAGGACTGAGCAGTAGTTTTACAGTTGGAAGAGGACAAACATTTAACTCTGTACAGGAATCCTGGTTTGATTTTCAAATTTTCAGTGAAATGTTGAATATTAATTTTGAATGACAGTCTGGTGTCAAGCCAACTTCTGAAGTGTTTGTATAAATCTACCAGAGTAATTTATTTAACGTTGTAAAGATTTGAAACCAAGCTTCCAGAGAGAAAGACATTTATCTGTGAGGGCGAAGGTTCATCTGCTTGATTTACCTCCAACACACGTTCATCATCAATTTCATTGAAGACCGTGCCATTGATCTGATTGGGCTTCAGGGCTGTCCAGTTAAACACAGGCAGGCGGAACTTAGTCTTGATGGGCTTCTTGATTCTGATGGCTGTAAAATATATACACGTGTTAACTTAAGCTCTGCTGCCTGCAGTAGAATACACAGGTAAAGTTGTGGCTCTCACCTGACAGACCCAAACTCAGGATAACTGAGGGAGAAGCATCTGTTAGAGGTGGAGCAGGAGGAGGAGGCGGTGGTGGGACTGGTGCACCTAGGCCTGTAATTAAAGTGGAAGACAATATTTAATTATCCTTTACTATTCTCTTCATATTTTATCTAGTTTATTGCCTTATTCATTACGTTACAATATACTAAATTTTCAGTTCTATATGTTCTGTGGTATCTTGGCTCAACAAGTTATCATAAAGAGGTGAAAGACACAATCTGCCTACACACATGCACACAGGAAACAAGCCTTGTTTCCTCTTCCTGTCTGGGTTAGAAGAACACTGCTGTGACTCATCACCTGATTTGGCACAGACTGACAAAAAAGGGGAAGCTCAAAATAGACCTGCACTGAGACTCTGTAGTCAAGGTAAGTGAACATGCATATGTGTGTGTCACCAGTCATAGTCATTATGAGTCATGATCTGTCACCTGAGGCTGAGGGCAGGGGAGGGGGAGGTGGTGGAGGCGGGGGAGGCGGTGGGGGAGCTTCACTGGCTGGGGGTAAACTGGTGTCGGGCCCTCCAGGTTCCGTCAGCCCTGCTGTCGGCCCCAGAGACAGCTGCCTGATGTCACCCAGAGGGATCCCGAGGCCAGTGCCCCCCCCACCACCCACACCAAGCGGCTCGATTGCAATGTCTCCATCAGGCTTCTTGTGCAAACGGATGGTGCCTTGCTGCTCGAGCTCCAGCAGCCGCCTCTCAATGTTGAAGTGCCTCTGGAAGGCAGCATCCTTCTCCTTGATCATCCTCCTCAGGGTGTTGACCTGGGTGTTGCTCGACTCGTACGTCTCCTGAGCAGGCACCAGGGGGCGATAAAGAGCACAGCACAATAACTCCACAAGCCACAGAAACATCCTGTTTCCTGCTGACCTAATTTGCTATCACAGCAATTTAGCTGCAACAAACATCTGAAACTGATCTTTGCGAGAACACACAGAGCAAGCAAAGCCTTTCTGATGCAAGGCTTGCAAGCAATATTGCATCTGTACAGCTGCCAGCTTACCCGGATTGCTAGCAGGTCCTTATCTTTCTGAAGGAGCAGCTTCTCCAAATCAGCTACTTTCATCATCGTTTCATTCTCAACCTCCAGCACCTTCTCCGTCACCTGAGGAAGAAGAGAGGGATGTGAGGTGGTGAATTCAAGAACCGATCCACAGGACAGGCATCTCTCTCAGCTCCACTCCCTTCCGCTCTCTCCCCATATACACTGTGCATCATCAATAAGAAATAAGATACATCCAGCAGCATGACACAGCAAAGTGCTCATACTTTTGATTTTGACCAGATTGCACATGTTGTGTAGGAATTTGTATGGAATCTTCAGCTTCATCCTCCCCCAACATTCATGACCCCTGAGAACAGAGTTTGTTATGAAATTCCTTGAGTGATGTCAGGGCTGCCTACGACCTTTCCATGTGAAGAAGGTCTTTTGCAAAGCAGCGTGGGATACAAAAGCCAACTGCCCAGAAAGAACGAGCCGGCAGCAGAACAATATTAAGACTGTTTCACGCAAAGTATTTTCCAGTGTTCTGCACCCTGTCATTATCCTGAACCACTTGTGAAATGCAAACACCGAGTAGATTTATAATTACCACGTAGAAACAGCGGTGTAAAGTACATAGCTGGTGAACCACAACAATCTCATAAATGGGACGAGAGAGCCATGTTGGTGGTCCGGACTGGGCGGGCACACTTACATGGGACAGGTGCTCCTCCAGTTCCTCCACCTTCTCCAGCGCTGCATTCTTGGTCTCTGCATCTTCCAGCAGACCACCCACGTCGAACACGTTATCCAGGTAGGCCTGGATCTGCACCGACAGCTTGTCACTCTCTGTATGTTTACATTTCTGACACGAGGAGAGAAAGAATCACAATGAGTGATATTCCACACACACCGTTCTGATTAAATAGTCTCCAAGTGAGGATATTTTGTAAAAGATACTGTCTCCTCACCTCCAGATAATCATCCAGTCCCAGCTTGGTGAACTCATACTGCAGATGGACCCTGAAGTTCATGTCCTCAACCGAGTGGACCACGATGTTGACGAACTGCATGCAAGCAACCTGGACCACAGACACACAGAATAAGACCCAAATGTATTTAACGGACACACATTCCCACCAAAAAGAATACATCTTGGTGTAACACTTACCATAAAATCGATGTTTCCCTCCTCACTGCGGAAGTGGTCCATCAGTCTCTCAAAGCGATGCTTCTCCTTACACACCTGAAAAGCAAAATATATTACAAGATATTCGGGGAAGATACATTATAATTTCAGAAATGTGATTAGAAATAAACACCAGGGAGATAATAACAAGATAATAAGTTTAACATGGAGACGAAGTGGGAAGATTTTCACATTTCTTATGTTATGTTAGAATGTATTAATCTTTATTATGTTTGAGAGATTTTACTGTTTCCACTGTACTCTATTATTTCATGTGACAACTCATAACTTAATAAAGAGTTATTGATGTTTAAACACATTCAAGAGACCATATCATCCATCCCAAGATCTTAGCAGTATGCAAACATAGGACATTCCTCAATTTGTAACAAGCTCGTCATGGGAAGGGACGCTAGCAAAAGATAAAAACACTGGACAGATTTATTTTAGCCAAATTCCTACAGTAAAAATACACTAGTGGAACAGAAGAAAACAAACACTGCTTTCCCAGTGCTTCTCAATTTTTTTTACACACAAACACATCTCAAGTAGACACAGTAGTGTTTGTGGACCTGATCTTCGATTACTGATCCAGCTGTGCTTGAATACTATACATGGTGTTCGTATAAAGATCTGCCACCTCGTTTTAATATCGAAATACCACCACAGAAATACCACCTTGTTTTGACTAGTGGGCTGATTCGGACGTGTGTCTCTGGGGCTTTAGGCTACGAGGTAATTGTCTTGTTCCGGTGTTTGGATGACTGTGCGGACAAAAACTGAGAGGCTAAGCAAACCTTTGTGGTCTGCTGACTCCCATCAGGGAGTTGATTGTCATCATTGTTCAAGGTTGGCGCACATCTGGTGTCGTATGAGAATAATAACCTCAGACAGAGTAGAGCTTTTGCTTACACCCTCAGTAGATGTGAAATCTCCAAGCTCCTCAACTTTCGTCCTTCTACACTGGTCCTTGATGCACACCAGTGATGTAGGAAATTATGGCCATTTAATAAATGTAATGTAAGATATTTTTCAAATTCAATTCTCACAGAATAAATTACACTGAACTTTAAATTTAAGATGATGATAATTGTTAAAAATTATTTAAAAGTTGCTTTGGGCACCTCTTTGAAGTTATCAAATGCTGAAAGGATGATCTCATGACCTCCTCGGACTAGACAGACGGCAGCCAGCAGCTCAAGGACTAAAGCTTTCGTCCTAGAAGTACAGGAAACATTCATTAGGACAACATATCTGGAAACAGTTCAACTGCAAAAAACTGTTTACACCATGAGAATGTACATCGGTGCATGCAATCCTCAAAACTAGTGCAAATGCAACAAAATGAAGAGTCTAAAATAAATAATTCACACTCAAGTCTAAAGCAGAGGCAGGTCTTTATAGCTTTTTAAGTGTTAACCCTCCTTGACTTCATTATGAAGTGATCAGCCCTGGTGGTTTACCACTAATCTCCCTTTAGTAAACATTCTTTTTACAGCCTGTATATACGCCTCTGAGACCCGACTTCAGAGAGAAGCCGAGCCCCACGGAGAATGGGAAGCATATCATATGAAGTGGCTGCAGGGTTTCCCCCATTGTGTGACCCAGCCCTGTGGAGACGAGGGCCTCAGCTCTTACCGTGAGTTCTTATTGTTCAAGCTGAGAGCAATTTCATTGACTGCGTGTGCGTGAGACATGACCATATTGAAGCCATACTGCATGAAGATGACAGAAAGAGAGAACAGCATGGGGTCATTAAAACCTCGGTGTATATAAACACACACAGCACTTCACTGCACAGGAAACACATGTTTATAACAATCATTAGACATTATCTGTGTCACATCGGTAATCAGTAAATATCAGTGTGTGAGCCTCTTTTTAACTGCAGGTGTTTTTTACCTGGTAGTTCATGATTGCTCTCAAGCACATGATGCACACGTGCACATCATCCTTTTGGCTCACGAGGCGGGAGTTTTTGATGGTTTTGCTGTTGGAGACTGAGCCATAGCTGCAACAGATGGCGGCACATGTTAACATCCTGTAGAGCTTCAGTAACCACACTTTCATACATCGAGTTTGTTATTTAAAAAAGCTCCTTTTCATTATTACAGAAATTTATGTTTTGTTCATATTGCATCTTGTTTCAAGTGTGTCACATAGAGAGAAACACAGAGAGAGAAAATTATAGAGAACGAGGTCTGACAGAAAAAACTTCTATGGCTTTTGAGGTTACAGATGCATTATGGGAGCCTGGTTTCCTTGCTGCTGTCAACAGATTGACTGCTGTTATGTAACTGCATTGCACAGTCATCATGTGCACATAATATTTCTTTTCTATGATCCAGTATTTTTAATCATATACAACATTTTCTAAAGGAACGTAAAATTTAGTCTTAATCTGCTTCTAAATGTTTTGTGCTTCAAAATATTAATTGGGACTATTTCTAATATGCTTAAATTTGTCTTATGTCTGTGTGTATGCTATCTCTGCAGCCTAGTGATGAAGAGGAGAATCATAACAGTCCAACATGTGCATCTGCTCACAGCTAGCTCTCATCTGAAACAGAGCAAATCCCTCATCTAGACAGATGAGGGAGGACGATGAACAAAGTGAGACACAGGACAAGATGTCAAAGACTTTCAGTTTCTCTATCTGTGATACTACTCATCATCTGACTGAGTTTGGGCAGAGCCTTGAGGTCAACAGGGAGTTCAGCAGACCAGTAATTGCACCAAGACAACAGGTTGGCATGCTAATACGTGTTTATAGCGTTCAAGATTAGCAGAGCGAGGCGATTACAGGGATAGATAATAGGCAGGGAAGCTGGCTTAGCAATACGTACCGGAGGACAGACTGGCGGGCAGAGCGCACCAGTGTGTTGCAGAAGGGTTGGCTTCCCGAATGGTGCAGATCCTCTATAGACCTGCTCCAAGACTTAGACTTGTCCAAGAAGCCTTCCTCCCCATTCTCCAGCCCCTCAAAATCCAACCTGGGCCACATACAGACAGACAGACAGACAAGCCAACACAGAGGCATGGGGGTGTAGATAAGAGGCGAGGGGGGAGCTTCGGTTAGTGAGGCGGCCTGGTAGAGAGCCAGGGGTTATCACAAGAACTGTCATCAAGCTGCACGATAAAGCTCAGCACAGAGATTCTACCCCATCCAGGCAAAGTATGGCTCAGGACTACACTGCATAGCATGTGTCCAGAAACATGTTCAGTTTGCCAAGTATGCAACAAGGCATACAAACAAATCTGAGTAATGCAATGTGCCAAGAGCACATTTTAGATGCACAAGCAGTTTATTACAGGCTCAACAGGACACATGTGTGTGTTAACCCAGCAGCTGGAATCACTGCCCAACCCAGTTCCTTAGGAAAGGTTATGGCTAGTCAGGAGGTGTGTGTGTGTGTGTGAGAGAGAGAGTGTGTGTATTAAGTACTCACATGACAGCACACTGAGCAAAGGAGAGATACTCCACCAGGACGTCGAGACCTCTGTTCTCATCATTGAGGAACTCCCTCACCCACCTGTGACGCATGAGAACAAAGAGGGGTTAGCAGGGCACCAGATCAAGTACACACCCTTATCCTTCAGGACTGGAATTCACTCATCAAAGGAGAAAAAGGAGAGCGATATGAGGCCGACTAATTAAAAGAGTTAATCTGGTTCATAGCTCAGGTCATGGCCATCCGTCTTTTCACTAATGAGAACTAAGGATGACATTTATTTGTGTTATTAGACGAATACCTCCTGGATTAAAAGGACAAATATAATAATAACAATATGTTTTATTTCACAGCACCTTTCTAGACACCCAATGACATCATCGTTAAAAAACAAGCCTTAAAAATGGATAAGGAGACGCAAACACCCTTCAATACAGCATATGTAACGTTTAAAAAAAGTAGAAAAAGTAGTACTAGTTAAAAATTTAAAGCAAGGTTTAGCGGCAAAGACACCTAACAGTACAAAATATTTACTTTGAACCTTGATAATAAGTTAATATGCATATTGGTGAATCACAACTGTGCTACATGAAGCAAAATCATCAAGGTAATGGATTAAATGAGTGTTTACAGTGGCACTGAATGTGCATTCATTTGATCATATGCTCATATGTGCATGTTCACATAGATCTGTGTGAAACTACTGTATGTACACGAGTTAAGTGATGTTTTATAGAGCGACAAATCTGTCGATTAATATTGTAATATTGAAAGTAATTGTTGGTTGTGTCTACTTCACTGTATTAAGACCACGTCTCAGAGGGGGGACTCGAGACTGAAAGAAAACAGCAAGAATGCAATGGAAAGAAAAGTAGAGCGAGGGTTCAGGTTTCCTCCCCATTTAACTCCAGTTTTGTGGAGTGAGAAACGACTCCAAACAAAGGAATTCCCATTGCGACGAGAGAAAGAATGTGGAGGGCATAAGGCTGAAGGAGCTGGGCTCACTTCTGAATCCGTGACAGCCGACAGTATTTAGTCTGCCTCCCCCGCAGACCCCCATGCCTTCTTCCCCACTTCTTCAGGGAACTCTTGTCTTAGGGGGGTGTCCGCAGTATCGGGGTGAAAGGTTCTTAAAATAGTCACAATGTGCTGGTCATGATGACAGACTGCCGATCAGCCAATGGCAGGAGAGCAATCAACGGTCTCAAAGTACAGCAGAGGGACAGAGGGAGGAGGGAGAAGGGAAGAGAGGTGAGAGCGGAGGAACAGAGGAAAGCAAACAAAGCAGGGAGATTGGGTGCAGGAGCGAAGAGGAGGAGGGGGTGGACACGGAGGCGGGCTTGATCATCAGTTTCCTGTCTAACACCCCCCCCTCTCCCCCCTTTGCCTCTGACACCCTGCCCCTTCCTCTCTCGCCCCCTCTCCCCCCTAAACTTCTCTTCCAACCAGTTGCTATTTCAGATTTTTCTTGGCAATCTCAGGAATAACACATTAGAAAGGGCCCAGGAATCAGACACACAATAAACCAGCATCTGTTACACTTAATCCCGCCCATGAAAGCCTGCTGAAAATAGCTCTCCCTTCTCTTCCTTTTTGCCTTTGAGTCTATCTGGGAAATACATTGAAACTGTTGAGACTGTTATTGATGAAGCCTGATTTAGAATATAAGTTATTCTTGGAGCTAGGTGAATGCTGTGGAAAAACCAAAACCTTTTTTTTTTTAACGCAGCTCCTTCAGAGGCAAGTCACAGCAGCACATTTTTAAAGTGCGAGTATGACAGCAGGTTATAAAGTCAAAATTCATGCTTGCAACAGAGAAGACAAAGGCCTCAAAAGCTTAAGAAAACATCCACATACACACTGGGTGTATAGTGAACTGTGTTGTCTTGCAATGACAAAATATGACAGAGTACAACAATAGCTTTCATGCTTTAGCGTGTGAGAAATGTGTAAACATAAGAGTATCCTTGTGTGTGTGTGTTTGTGTTTTTGTGCTTTTCACAGGGTTCAGCGTTGGTCAGCCAGGCTTCCTGTCCCTCTGGCATCCACAACAAAGCTTCCTGCTCAACACTATGGGGGAGTGGACGAGGCAGCACAATGGCTACCATCTGGGCATTATGAGGACCAGCTCTATGAAGTGGAGCTGCAGAGCTTGGCAAGTTAGAACAATAGGGGGAGATCAGGGCACTAGAGAAACTGCCCTGAGTCCCTGCAGCAGCAGGAGCACAGAAAGGGACTATTCTTATGAGCCAAGACAATAATGTGGTTTCCTTGAGCTCTGGGCCAAAGGAAAGATAAGAGATGATTACCCAATGTGGTTTGTCCGCAGCGATATCTCCAGCTCCCTCAAGACTTTTGTAGATTCCTGCACCCGCCTGCGGAACTTCTGTGCGACATAAAATAAACAGACAGTTTAGCGGCAGATTTATTATCATCGCAGTTCGGCCTAATGAGCTGTGAGAGTTGACAGGTTCTTAAACAGTTTCACTTAAACACACTTTGATGTGTAAAGTTCCTGTTTACACATAAAGGCCATTTGTACCCCACCTTGCGTGTGACTCCGGGGTCTAAGTATCCTCGCAGCTTCTGGATGTAGGTGTGAGGCGGATTCTTCACCTGAAACCTCTCCTGAAGACACACAAGTCAGAATTATATTGTGAGTTTAATAAGGTCATTGTGTTGGTGCAGAGTAACACAGGCAGGGGTGTGTGTGTAGATTTGGCAGTTTTCCAATGAGAACGCACCTGGTCGCAGATCAGGTCCCATTTCTTCTCATTGTCATACTGTCTGAGGAGCCGGGCTTTGTCTGGAGGCAGGTTCATAGAATTCTGAGAATATAAAACAAAAGCATTAGTTTAATCTATAACCACATTTTCCCTTAAGTTTGATCACTAATAGTAGCTGTGTGGTGACAGAAGTGTGTCACTGGGATTTTACAGAGCTCTGGCACCAACGGCAGAGCACAGGAGAACATTTTGGGGACTTACACCATGACCTCACTTCCTCTGTTGACTTTCAGCATCCTGCCGCAGGAGATGATCTGCATCTCCTCTGCGCTCTTGAGTCTCAGTACCATTCATGCCATACTTTGCTTATAGTACAAGCCTTTTATCACACCTGTTATCCAATCCAGCAATAAAAACACTTGATCCCTGAATGAGACGTATCAAGGCAGCAAATTTACTACAGCTCAGATTAAACATCAGATGCTCTATTTTGTGTTTGGAGACAAATTAATTTCTATGTTATGTCCTTGTAACCACAGCAAAAAAATACCACAAACTATATGACACATGTTTTTGACTAATTTCTTGATAAAGCCAAAAGCTTGTAAACATGGGTTGACACGGACAACTTAAAAATGAGGAAGTGTAACAACACCAGGGAGCTCGCAGCCCCTAAAACTGATCGCCTCAGCGTTTCTCTTTGAAGAGACATGAGGGATTGTTTGCAACCCTCATTTACACCCATATCAACTGTACCCCATGAGCCCGGCCACAAACAGCCTGTCAGCTTGACTTTTAACCTGCAACTATTACTCAGCCTGCCTTCTAAAACTCAGCATTGACCCATCACAGGCCAGACGTGATGCTCACACTGGGCTTTCCATAGATGGAAAATAACATATATTTGTTACCCTGACAACCACACTGACTTATAGTAGTGGAATATCACATGCAAGTATTTTAAAGTTAAAGTTTTCCACATCAGGAGCAAATTGCTCACTCCATCAGCACATTCATGAATCATGTTGTGATGTCGGTACAGGCAAAATGCCTGGAGCTTATGGAGCTGACTCAGAGGTGCCAATAAAGAAGCACATTTTTGTGATCACAATTAAAAATATGCTGAAACAAAATGGACAATATTTATACATAATTCTCTGAGAAATCAACAGATATTATCCAAAAAATCTTGCAATGTTAAAGAAAATTCCTGGATCCAGACCTGATCTGGACCTGCACCAAAACTGGATATCCCTGACCCATAAGGGATCTGAAGTTTTTGTGTAATCCTGCTAACTAACACACAAACGGAGACGAGATCATAGCCTCATAGAGATAATAAATCAACTGTTAACCTCAAAAATATTTTAAAAATGCAAAAATAAAAGGCCTGACAAATCTTCACCAGTCTGTGGTGGAAAACAATGCCTGTGCATATGGGGCTTTTGATTTAACCTGCTTTATAAATCCCGTGACGGAGAGGAGAGAGACACAACATGCATACCAGATGTCCAGAATTACAGGAGGAATGTGTCTTGTTTATAGTAGTAGTTTATAGTAGTAACTTTTCTCTCTTGTCTGACCCCTAAACTGCTCTCTCCTCTGTCTGAGTATTTTAACAAAGGCTGGACACAAGCCACAATTTTACATTAAACAAGTTTTTGAAAAAAGTTTACAGTAAATTAAATTGATGCATTCTATGAATAATAATCAATGGATTTATGGTAGGACACAAACAATTGTGATTTATTGATTATTGATTACACAATTAAATATGACATAAAATCAAACACCAACTATCTTGATAATTGACTTAAAAGTTAAAATGCCTTAAATGTTCTTGTCCCTTCATTTAATGATTTTCTAAAGACATCTGAAGATACGACCTTGTGCTCTGGAAAACCATGATGAATTTATCAGTTTGTAGCCAAAACAACTGGTAGGGTTATTGATAATAATTTAGTAAGTTCAAGTGGTCGCTCTAATGAATTAGAAGCATATGGAGACTTTGAATAGACTGCAGATTATGTTCCATAGGCCTGGTTTTGACACAAAACACCCAGATGTCTGCTGCAGCATCTGTTCACTTCCAAAGTCCAGTTCCCTTTGTTTTCCCCCTTGATTTTTGTGTTTATTTGATTCTGAATTACTGGAAAACATAAGGACCACACACACACACACACAATTTCAATAATAATCATTAAAAGCACAAGGAGCCTCGTCCCTTCCCACAGAATAAATATTTATTCTTGTTATTAGCAACGAACACACTGAAGACTGATAACACTGTGCTCTCCATCAGTTAGAGCCTCAGGTGATAAACAAATACAGGTGGAACTGTGAGCAGACGTGTGAGAAGAACTGTTTTAAATAACAGGTATAAAAGCTAAACGAACGTGGGCACAGAGAGGAGGTTTCTTCTTCCACCACGCAGACTAAAAGCAGAGGGGATGTTTCCTTTCTTACTAGATTTGGGTAATTTGAGCCAAGTAACCCAATTTAGCTAATTTCATTTCACTTTCTCCCACAGTGATGCTATCTCATGCTTCCTGTTTTTACGAGAAGCTAAAAGAAGTTGTTTCCCTGGTGGTAAGGGGACTGACGTGGCTCTTTTTAGTTTCAGACAGACACCGGCCCATTTTAGGTTTGAAATACTACAGAAAAGCCAAAAATGTCTGGTGCTTGTTAATGTTGCCATGTTGCCCACATGCTCTCTCCTCCTCCAGCGAGGCCTTTCTTGTTCGACCTGAGACCGGATCAACAAAGGATTCAATGTGGAGCTTTGTTTTGATTTGGTACTGTGCCATTCCCATCCTTTGACATTTGAGCTATTTTTTTCCTCATAGAAAATCGCTCACAATGGCTGGTGGGCAGGGTCAGTGTTTGCCCCCTGGTGCTGTGTGGAGCAGAATCCAGCTAAAACACAACACCACTGCACAACCAGACGAACTGGTTGTATTATCACCACTATCCCTCTGATCAGTAGACCCCATTGTGAGCCAGGACAGGAGAGTGAGTCACCACACATGGCCACTGAGGAAACAAAATGGAAACGCCACTGTATTTAGTGTATTTATATTGGTTGAAAGGTTGTTTTTTTAAAAACATTTTTATGTTTCAAATCAAAGTTATCAATTAAACAGTAATTAAAATAATTAGTTAAGTTGTTATTAAGGTGGTCCCACAATTTCATGTAATTTTCTTTGATGTTTTTTTATTTTATGAAATTAACGATTTTAAGAATTGATTAATCAATTAATTATGTTTTTTCAAATGAAAGTTATTAATTGTATCAATACAACTTGTTTTCTAGTTAGTTTGAACAAACTCAATTAATCTCCGTTTTATTAACTATGTAATTAACTAAGTAATTTTTAAGTTGGTCAAACGATTTTTTCTTTTTACATTGTACTTCATTGTTTGTTTGTTTTTTAAATACATTATTTAAAGATGCTAGATTAATGTATAACTGAACAGCTGTGTGCTTTACTAATAATTAACCTGAATGAGAAAACATATTATGCACAAACACAGTTAAGAAACATAAAGTGAGACAAGGATTGAGAGGGAAAAGTATGTTGTGGAGCAGCACAGGCCAACCGAGAAGGTTTAAACTCTAAAACAGAGAGACATTTGAGCCGCTGACAAAGGACGGCTGAGGTTTTAAGGAGTTGTTTTAAAGTAGTTGACGGGGTCAGGTTGCTGCTTAAGGAGCCATGGAGAGTCCAGGAGAGCCATCAGGGACTCAGCAGAGCGCTCATGTCACGCACAGACCCCCACAACCGTGGGGGAGAGGGGGGGAATACTGGAGAGCCCATGGTCACTGCAGACTTCAGAGTCAACAGGGCAACTCCATCTGCCCACCACCTGAGGTAAGACCCTGACCTGCAGCTCCGGCCGGAGGCCCCCGGACAGACAAATGAAAAGGGTGACAAGATGTTTCCTCCCTGGTCTCGCTCACAGCTTCGCACTTTCAGTCATTCTCCAAACCCTGACCACAAATCACTCTGCCTGCAGAATCCACTCCGCCTGTTTGTTTTTGTAGAGGACTCTGTATCACCAATTTACTCCCAAAGTTGCAGATGTTTATTCTGCATGCTCTCTGTGGTAAAAATGTAACTGCATTGTTGTCATTGAAGAGTGTTGCACAAACCAAAGTTCTGGGAAACTGAGAAAGTTGTTTCATTTTGATATGAATGAGGTTTGTCAACGTTGCTCAAAAGCCTGAAGAAGAAGTTAACTGCTAAGCTTTATTTTTCCAGTATAATGACGTCTACCAGAGAGGCTATGTTTCACACTGTCCCAATGTGGATCTAGTGAAGGTAAAGGTCCAGTGTAAGATTTAAGTGAAAGGGACTTATAGTCCTAGTGAGGGTTTCACTAGCTGTGATCATCTAAATTGTATAAATTATTGTTTTTATTACGCTTGAATGGGTGCTTTATATTAAAATACTTATATAATACTTATATTACATTGGGAGTGGGTCCTCTCTACAGAGGTGAGGGGTATTCAGCTGCAGCATGAAACTTCACCATTAGATTTCACTAAATTCTACACACTGACCCTTTAAATGTGGTAATGCACTCAGTAGGATTCAGTGTGATTCTCTCCTTTGTGCTGTATCAGTAGGCTGGAAATGCAGACTCTATTTACTCTGGTAGGCTTACACAGGCCAGACTTAGTTGTCATCAGCTCGGAGGGAAAAGAGTGGGTGGTTAAAGAGCAAACCACGTTGGACTGAGCTGTGGCAGTTCAGACACGGAGGCACACACAGCCGTCTTTACCCATGACAAGTCTGAGAGTCTGCTCATCAGGGCGGGGTCTGGGAAGAAAGGACCTGCGGCACTACTCAAATGGAAGCTGGCCCTGCCAACATAAAGGTCACAGCCGCACACACAACACTTCACTGAGCTGGGAAAACACAATTCAAACAAAGGGTTGGTTATTGTCATATTACACAGCAAGGGCAGGAGAGGCAGAAAAACAAATTTAACAATGATAACTCAAATAAGGGCCAAAAATATGAACGATAAAAGAACAGTTGGACATTTTAGTCATGCTAATTTGTCGTTGTATATTTATTATATTTAAAATACTGGAC